AGCTCCACCCGCACAGCATTTCAGATCACCTTCACTCATAATCACCCTTGCAGCCTGTTCTTTCAAAACCCAGCTTGTCAGGAGAGAAGTCACTGTAAGAGATAAAGGAAATAGGGGAGTTAGGAGCCAGTCGGTTTTATCTCCTTAACTTAATCTGCGATCGTGTTTTTTACTATTTGTCATTTAAGCCATGCTTTTATTTACGTGTTTTGAAAGAATATTTTGAAGATAAGTCATTATGAATATTCATTCTCAAATTCAATCTTTAATAATTCTGAATCTTAAATAAGTAACAAAAATATGTCAAATGAGATTCTGATCAATTTTTTTAAGCTGACTGATTCATACATAGTTAGTCTGATCTATGAGCAAAACATTTCGAAAATGCAAACCTACCCCCCTCCAATAGGGGGTAGTTTTGCCAAATGTTCCAGATCACCACCAAAATTTTATGGAATATTAATTAGGTAAAAATTTAATTCAAATCTGTTCATAACTTTTCGAGTTGAAAAAAAAAATCTTGGATCCAAACCATGGTCCGCATCACCACCAAACTGCATTAAGCGTCTAAGTTAGGTTAAAACTCACCTTTGGTTAAAATCTTGTTAAAATGTGTTCATAACTTTTAGAAATATTAGAAAACACAAACCAACCAACAAACAAACAACAAATAAACAATCAACAAACAAAGAAACAAACGGAAGTAACAATATTAATAAACAAAAGGTCATGGGGTACACGAAAATGATCTATATGTGCTCATATACCTTTTATACATACTTTCACATCGCCATGTAATTGTTTTTCGTCTTTCCACGGGGTCTGAGAGTGAAATTTGGCTACGTGACCCCGTAGAGTTATTCCGCAGATTTAAAAAGACGATTTTCATGGTCCAGGACGGCCCGGCCGCGCGGGGAAAAGTATGCATTTGGTACCCGACCGACTGGAGAAAAGTTATTCTTTCGACAAATATTATGCGTTGTAAAACCCCATTAGAGCAACAATAATAGGTAAATGATAGATAAATATATCAAATACAAGTATTCTGTACATTATTTGTCATGTAAAATGTAAACATAATAAAAAGGAAAAAGATTGGGATTATTAGATCCTTCACATTTTTATGCATAGCACACGTATTTTCGGTCCGATTTTAACGTATTATAGCCTATTTTGTAGCTGAATAATAGTTCTATTATATGCTGCAATAAGGATTTGCAATATTTTCATGCGGTTCTTGTAAAAGTGACATATGTTTTCAAAATCTCCTATTAGGGTGTTAAAATAGTCACCTTTGGAAAATATACACCAAAAAAAGTAAGGTCAACTTCTCAATTTCTGCACATAATAGTAGAAAGATAGTTCTAGTCAGACATGAAATCAGAATGAAATAAAAATGGTCAATGTAGGCCTATAGACCCCCAGATCACAACTTGTTCGAGAGCGCTTTCGCAATTTTTGCCTGTACTTTTTGCAAAAGTGGTCAGTGTAAGAAAATTTTTACCTTTTTTGTCTTTAAGTTCCCTACTTCAAAAATTCACAAAAATATATGGTCGAAATCGAGAAAACGCTCTCGAACAATTTGTAGCTATATAGTTCTGTGCAAAAATCAAATAAAGTTGAATGTCTTATCGTTTCTGAAGACGTGAGGATTTGCCCCCTCGCTGCATTTTCAGATTTTGTTTTTTGAAGAATTTCGTTTTTTTTGACAATAATTCAAAAACCGTTCGGATTTCGAAAAAATCGACCAAAGGCAATGGGAAGGGGCCCTAATAAAAGGGTGTGAGTTTTATCAAAATCGGAAGTAAAATCGAAAAATCGAAAAAAAGCAGACGGTACCCTTAACTTTATAACACTTGGGTATGCCTCAACAAGACTGATGGTTGGGTTCTCACAGGAGACTGTGTATGACAGCCTTTAGCTCATGCTGCAGTCATGTGACAACACACTTCTTCTTGTCAGAGGCAGCAGTACACTTTAAACAAGCCAACCACATATAACAGCCAACTTTGTTCCTGGAAGGCACCCAGGAAAAATGTCGATCCAGCACCAATCAGTGCGAAAGATTTCTTCAGGCCAAGCACGACCAGAAATGGATACGAGCAAGCAAGCACATGGAAGATATTTCCTGATCGTGGTTTTGAAAATGATAACAATTGCATACCAGAGATCAAGACCAGTCTTTTTGACCCCACTGCTGTCAGTAAGAACAGAGACGAGCTTCCACTTTTCTCTTCGGGTTGCGCGCATTCAACTTCCCTTCTCCGCTTATTGAATTTTCGAGTTTTGGCATTTTTGGCATTTTTTCCCAGCCTTGCAGTTTGTACAAGCAACTGCACAACTGTGAAGTAATTTTTCGTCTCAAAAGTAAAACGGAAATCGCAAAAGTTCCGTAAAGTTTGAATGATCGCTGCCATAACAACAGATAAAGGAAGATGTTTTGCCTAACACCATGCGCGCGCGTTTCTACATGTAAACATTGCAAGGGGTCTATAAGCTCAAGCCATGCATCGTTTCTGGAATATTGGAATTTCTACATTTATGCATGGTTTACAGAATATTAGAATATGAATATTTATGTATGGTTTATAGAATATTGGAATACATGCTATATATGCTCAAGCCATGCATGGTTTATAGAACAAAAGAATAATCGGGTTGACTAATAGTTATGGTTAAAAAATACACGGGAAATTATATTTTTCTCCACATCAATATGTTTACTTTGTTATCAATGTTGATTTTGAGTACTTACCATCAACACGACGAGAAGGAGAGCGCACACTCGAACTGCAGTTGAAGACATGACTGAGGAATGTGGATCAGACGATTCCGTTGCAAGACTGACGGTGCAAGGGATCTGCACTTGTATTTATTGGTCGTATGACGTAACACAGAATACTTGCGGGAAAATCCTATCGGTTAATGGCACACGGTTTTCACCGATAAAAAATGTTTGTTTTCCAAGTTACGGTGGGTAGGTTTACAAAATCGGTTCGAAGGCCAAACATATACACTTCTAGGTAGTGCCAGCCTTTTGTTTTGCTCTTTTTATGTTCTGAAATGTTGAAAAACATTTCTCCTTCTTGCCAACGCGCTCGTCTCTCCTCACCTCTTACTGGGTTGATCATTTTTCGTCCTCTAAACCTTACATTCTGATTTTCAATCCTTATGCCTAACATAACTATTACACACCCACACGATATATGTATGTGTGTATATACAAACATGTTAATGTACTAATACCATAAAAGAAGATTGATAATTCTGATTTGGTAAAATGTAAATGCAAGTACTTATTTCAAGGAATTATTTTCCAAAGACCTAAATCTTTATTCATATTATTTACACTGCATTTCTCGTGACTTGTATTACGACCTCAGAGTGCAGGTCATACAGTACAAGATGGAGAAAGTTCATGAAGAGTTGTGACATTCCAAACGTAAATTCCTTTTTTTTTTTTTTTTTTTTTAATTCGTAAACACTGCGAGAAAATCATTTTATTATTCAGTAAGTTGCACTAATTGTTTGACGTTGAAAGCATTCGTGTGGGTTCCGAAAAATGTTTAATATCTTAATAAACAATGGGAATAGCACAGATATGGTGATAATACATACAACTATGGCAAGGTACATAACAATCATGGTCACATGTAGTCCATTTATTAAATATAAACATTTATCAAACATTTATTTAAAAATACTTAAACCTTAACATTAATATATACATGCACAAACTAACACAGTTACATATACATGCATGTGCATATATGTTTACACAAATTCACATGTGTATGTATATATATACATATACATATATAAATGCATTATGCATTCGTCTACCATGTAAACGGTATAAATATGTGTGAATATATGTGTGGGTGTATACTTATGCATATATATACATATATATACATATGTACATTTATATTTAGATGAATAATCAAATATATACACACATGAACACTTGATCACCTGTTTGCCTTTATGACAGACATATATATTATAAATATACAGATACACACATATAGGTGTCTGTACATATATATATATATATATATATATATATATACATATAAATACACATATGTAGGTCTGTGCATATATATATATATATATATATATATATATATATATATATATATATATATATATATATATATATATATATATACATATATATATATATATATATATATATATATATATATATATAATATATATATATATATATATATATATATATATATATATATATATATATATAATATATATTATATATATATATATAATATATATATATATATATATATATATATATATATATATATATATATATACATATATATAGGGTATATATATATATATATATATATATATACATATATATATATATATATATATATATATATATATATATATATATATATATATATATATATATATATATATATATCATATTTATATACTTATATTTATATATATACACACATATACATATATAAAATATATTTAATTGCATATATATAAACAAACTATCAGATAGGCATATTAGGCAATCCATTACGAATCAAACAGGATTATCATTCAAATTTTATTCTGAAGGATCAACAATCTCTACCATCACAGACAGCAAATCAATTTATAAATCGACACAGTCTTCTGGAAACAAGGCTGCGGCCACTGTGTGTGCTCATTCTGAACCATGGTTATCTCCGAGGCAATCGAATCTTCTGGAACTGTCATTAACCTGAAAACGAGAAAAGAAAAATATCATGTCCATTATTTTGTATAAGTTCATACGAAATTGTAAATCCTGAAAGTATTTCCTTACTTTCAAAACTGAAAGTTTGTACCCAGATCTCGAATATTCCAAAACCAGATCCGACACAGATACTTTTCCACACTTATGTTCACTTTCCTCCCTCCCCCCCTCCCCTCCGAAAAAAATGTAATAATAATAATAATAAATAAACCTACCTTGATTTCTCAGTTATCCGATCAGAACTTTGGCTGAACACAAGATAACCCACCAGGAACCAAGCAACATTTTTCAATGAGATCACAATCCATATCCTTGTGGCAATTCAGATTTTTGAGGCTGTTTGAGGGAGAACCATAATGTTAATGATAAAATGTTTGTGATCATATTAGAACGCTGATAATAGTGGTGTTCGTGAGTACAATGCTCGGATGTTAATAGAGTTGTTTATGATCAGCTGTTGACGATGATAAAGTTAAAATGTTGATAATCGTGTTTTCGATAATAATGTTAAAATGCTAATATTGATGGTTTTATGATAATGCTAAAATGTTGATAAATTTGGTGATTATAATAAATACTAGATTAATAATGTTGGTGTTTATGATATAAAGTTTAAAAGGCTAAGCCACGCTTCTGATATAATATATATATATATATATATATATATATATATATATATATATATATATATATATATATATTACTCGTATAAAAAACTGTCCATAACTTTATGATTTATCCCTCTAACCAACGAACAAACTAACTAACCAACACGACCAAAAACATAATCCTCTTGGCGGAGGTAATAACGATCATGATAATAAAGATTATGAAATGAGAGTAATAATAGTAATATTAATAGCACTAGTGGTAGGACTAGTAATGATATTCACAATACCATCATAGTTTTTAACATTATCATTATCACCATCATTATCGCCATCATTATCATTATCATTTCAATTATTATTATCACATTTAGGATCATTATCACTATCATTACCATCACGGTCTCACTGGGGTCACCCCCCCCCCCTTCATCACAGCGGCTTATAAAGAATTTTCCAAGATCTGCGGCTGCATGATGTGATGATAAAAAGATATAATATAATATAACAAAAAAAGCCAATAACAGTGATAATGATTAATACTTAAGCATGATAACAGTGATGGATTGCATGATAGTGAAGGTGAGGGTGAGGGTGAAGATGGTGATAATACTGATAATAACCGTGGTCTAAATACATAACGAAGACATTAATAGATGATATTGGCAATCATGGCAACAGTTCTCTTTCTAAAAATTGCGACAATGATAATTTTCTTAATGGTAAACGTGTCATTAGTAGGAATATGGCATAAAAATATATTTCTTTTTGTGCCTTAAGCAAACTAACATGGATACTCATAAGAATTAAGAAGAACTATAATAACAAAGTAAGAATAAGAACGAGACAGAGAAAAAAATATCCTCCTACCCGCCTAGTACAAGCTGTTTCGTCGTGACAGGAGGACAGGAACCGGGTTTCATGAAGCCCCTTTTAACTTTCTGTTCGGTGCTCGCCTGGGCAGAGCACTAACGCCGGCAGAGTTAGGAAAGGGGGACAGAAAGGTGTAGTAGATCCTACGGGATCCTATGGGTGTAGTAGATCCTATATCCTTGGTTGTCGATTTATGATATTTCTTGATTGATTAAGAGCATACGTACGCACATGTAAATGCACATGCTTCACACGTACATATACAGCATAAATATACACACAATATACATTACACAAGAATAAATCCATGAAAAACTGTGCTAAAAAGCGAAAAATCCAAAACCAACCGTCATCAGCATCACGGCGACACACACCACGCACACACTTATTCCTCGAAAAGTCATCATGGAAATCCCAACCAACTGTGCCGGATGAGCAAGCGACGTAGGACGGATCTGAACTGAAGCATCAAGGGGCCAAGCGCTGCCCTTTTATCCACCGAGGAGCCGGTGTTATGGCGCAAAGGGTCGTTCTTGCGGAACCGTAAGTTAGGAAACAAAATGAATTTGTTTGGGGTTGGACAGAGATTTATGAATGCATTTGAATGATAGAGTGATAGGCAGAGGATAGATTGTGATGTTGAATAGGTGACACTTTACAGAAATATTTTATTTAGAACATAGACAAGTGGTTATTAAGCTGACTGATTCAAAGGCGTAAAATTTAGCATTTCATTTCATTCTGTAGGTGCTACCTAGTCAACACCAAGGTATTAAGACAGCACTTTATAAGACTTAGGTATGCCTCAACAAGGCTGATGGTTGGGTTCTCACTGGTTTTGAAGATGAAAATTTTTGACCCCACTATTAGTATAAACAGTGAAGAGCTTTCAATTTTCTCTTCGTGTTGCTTATCGAATTTTCGTTTTCCTTTTTGGCATTCCATAAAAAGGCAACGAAGATTTTTTTCCCAGGCTTACGGTTTGTACAAGCAACTGCACAACTGTGAAGTAATTTTTCGTCTCAAAAGTAAAACGGAAATCGCAAAAGTTCCGTAAAGTTTGAATGATCGCTGCCATAACAACAGATAAAGGAAGATGTTTTGCCTAACCATGCGCGCCA